TTCAAAAAAAACCATTGGTTTCGGAAGAAGTTCGAAACCTACTGTCCCAAGAACAAATAAAAGCACATGGTTTCGCAACACGGATTGCCAAAAAACGTGCGCGCTCTTGCAATTATTTTTTGTTGAGAAAGCCATGCGTCTTTCAAATTTCAAGAACATGCTACCAAACGAGCTTCGCGCGCGCATGTCGAAATCGTTCGAACGCCCTGGCGCGCGTGCTGGGGTGGCACGATCCGCGTCGAACAAAAACCATGCGAGCCACTTTCGCACGTCTGCCGCGCGCGCATTTTGAATTCCTTCGAAAACCTTCATCACCGACGCGAAGACGCCGTCATGGTCGTCGGCGTGATCAACCTGTTTTTTTCTCGTCGTCACGTCCTCGTCCTCTTTGGAGTCGTGGTCGTTTCCGTCGTCGTTGTCGCCGTGGTCGTCCTTTCTCCTCCCTCGTCGTCGTCGTCCGTTGTCGGCGTCTCGTCGTCGTCCCTCCTATTTCGTCGCCGTCGTCGTCGTCGTCGTCGTCGTCGTCGTCGTCGTCTTCGTCGTCTTCGTCGTCGTCGTCGGCGTTGTCGTCGTCGTCGGCGTCGTCGTCGTCGGCGTCGTCGTCGTCGGCGTCATTGTCGTCGTCGTCGTCGTCGTCATCGGCGTCGGCGTCGTCGTCGTCGGTGTCATCGTCGTCGTCGTCGTCGTTGTCGTCGGCGTCGGCGTCGTCATCGTCGTCGTCGTCATCGTCGTCGTCGTTGTCGTCGTCGTCGTCGGTGTCGTCGTAGTCGTCGTCGGCGTTGTCGGCGTCGGCGTCGTCGCTGTCGTCGTCGGCGTCGGTGTAGTTGCCAAGTGCCATTTGGCACCTACCGTCACGGTCTTAAGAGGTCGTGCGACCAAGTTGCGGGTGGGAGAGTGGGATGTTTGCAGGAGCAGTGGAGAAGACAGCATCGAGACAGTCAAAATATAATCTCCTTTCTAAAAAGAGAATAGACTCTCTACCCCCCCCCGGCGTTATCGGTCCCCGTTTCGGGTATGTAAATCACATATGATTCTGACCACATGTCCATCCTAAGTATGAAATCGCAATGTCCCAGGCCAGCAGGTATCCCCCCCCTGAGGCTCCCGTGTAAAAAAACATTATTCGGTGACAATTTTTGGTTCTACCATAGCACTTGTTCGCGACCCCCTTGCAAAAAATATGACGAAGTGCACACGCGCGCGTCGTCGCGCGCGCATGCCGAAATCCTTCAAAAACCTTCGGTACCGGAAGGATTTCGCAATCGAGTTTCCAACAAAACATACAAAAAAACTGGGTTTCGCAACACTGATTTGCTAAGACAGCTTCCGCACGAGCTCTTGCGAAATCTTAAGAAAACCATAGGTTTTTTCAAGATTTTCACAGAATGCTACTAAACGGGCTGGGCGCGCGCATGTCGAAATCTGTCGAGGGCCCTTGCGCGTGTGCCGTCGAGAGGATCCTCTGCAACAAAAGAGGACGAAGTGCAGACGCGCGCGTCGTCGCGCGCGTATGCCGAAAACCTTCAAAACCCATCGGTTTCGGAAGGATTTCAAAATCGTGTGCCCAAAGAACATACAAAAACACAACGTTTCGCAACACGGATTTTCAACAAAAGCGTGCGCGCGCTCTTTCTTCGTCGTCGTCGTCGTCGTCGCCGTCCTCCCTCCTCCCGCGTCGTCGTTGTCGTCGCCTACGTCGTCCTCTGTCTGTCCTCGTGTTCGTCGTCGTCGTCCTCTTTGGCGTCGTGGTCGTTTCCGTCGTCGTTGTCGCCGTGGTCGTCCTTCCTCCTCCTCCCTCGTCGTCGTCGTCGTCCGTCGTCGGCGTCTCGTCGTCGTCCCTCCTATTTCGTCGCCGTCGTCGTCGTCGTCGTCGTCGTTGTCGTCGTCGTCTTCCCTCCTCCCTCGTCGTTGTCGTCGTCGGCGTCACCGTCCTTCCTCCTGCTTCGTCGTTCGCGTCGTCGCCGTCCTCCCTTCTCCCTCGTCGGTGTCGTCATTGTCGTCGTTGTCGTCGTTGTCGCCGTCGTCGTCCCTCCTCCTCCCTCGTCGTCGTCTTCGTTGGCGTCGTCGTCGTCTTCGTCGTCGTCGGCGTCGGCGTCGTTGTCGTCGTCGAAGTCGTCGGAGACGTCATCGGTGTCGTCGTAGTCGTAGTCGTTGTCGTCGGTGTCGTCGTAGTCGGTCTGAAGAGGTTTTGCAAACCAAGTTGCGGGTGGGTGGGTGGGCTGTTTGCAAGAGCGTGGGATGTGCCAAATCATAAGTAAAAATCATTTACACTACGTAGATTGCGCCGAATATATTCCTCAACATAGATTGCAACGCATAGCTTGCACCACCGCCTGCCTGCACACAGCAGATTGGTCCGCATGTGTCGCACTACGCGCATAGCAAAACCTAGAGTGTCCAAGGTTTACGGCACCACATAGATTGCACAACGTAGCTTGCTAGAAAAACTGCGTTTTGAACCCGCCCACGTTGGCGAACATTCCATATACGTATATGTGCATGTATAGATATTGCGGATTCTGGCAACACTGAACCAAACGATGCTATCATCTCTCGGGAAACCACTGCTTACTCCCGCCGCCTTCCTCTAGCCTTCCGCCGGCTTCCGCCCGCGGAGGCGGCCTTCTGCCGACCTTCCGCCGAGGAAGAGATGGCAACTCCTTCGACCCTCGAAAGCAAGGCCCCTTCTGGAACCTGCCCAGGCGGTACTGCCAACAAACAGCCGCCACCAAGCATATACTGCATATAAATGATCTGAGCGCACACGCCGCCCCTGGGGGGAGGGGGCCGACGCACACAACGCACTGGCATGTTCGGGCCATGCCGATCTCCTCCCACTCCTTCGCCCCTGCTCTGTAGCACTGTCGCACTAACTACTGCGCCCGGGCAAGCCCTGAAGCGCATGCCTGATCCGGGACTCACACACCCAACATCTTTTCGACAAGGTCGCCCCTGCCTCCGTGCCTTCTCCCCCTCCACCTCGTGGCTCCTGGCCGATGGCCCTCTGGCGTCTGGGTCAGGCGCAGCCGCGCCCAACCCCGGCGGTGCCTGGCCACCCAGGGAGGGCGCTGCTCTCCACAGATGTCCACGGTGGAGCGCGAAAGGGAACGACGGGGAACGGCGGAAACGACGGTGCGCGAGACTCCCTTGGTGGGGACACGACGGAGAGCGGGGTAGCGCTGCTGCCGAAACGCAGCTGGCGGGAGCTGGCCAGGCAGCCCGCCACCTCCGAGGAGACCGGGTAGCCCCCGAGAGCCCCGCCGGACAAGCCGTCGGCCAGCCCTCGGCCTAGCCCATCAACCTCATCATGCTCAGATCGCCGGCGTCATGATTTTGTCCACTGTGTCGCCCCCCAGAGGTCTCGACCCGTGCCCCCGAGACCTCACTTCAATCCTGAGATGTGGACGCCCGAAGTGGGTACGGAAAAAACGGGTACGGTGCCCAACAGCAAATGTTGTCCCAAACCAACAGCGGCGGCTGCTGGGCAGGCGGCCTCCTGTCTCAGATGGACACAGGCCCGCGGCGGCGCGGACAGCGAGCCCTGCTCGAACTGAGCAGGAGCTGCTGTTGGGCGTTGTACCCATTGTTTCCGTACCCACGTCGGCCTTCCCGATGAGAACTCGTCGACGGTCCCGAGGCCCGGCGAGGGCCCCCAAAAGGCCGACAACGACGGAAAGCCTCCCGCGGAGCAGCGCGGAGCTTCTGGGGATGCGACCCTGCAGGACCCCACGGCTTGCACCCCGGGTCGGCAAGCAGAGCGGACCTGTCCTGCCGGTGGAGGCCTTGTTGGAAATCTGGGGGGAACAGCAGCTAACTACCTTGATACCCTCCCGTTGTGTTGGGTCGAGCCCGGCCCCCCCCACAGGGGCATGTTGGGCGAAGGCAGAACCATGTCCGAAACAGATTCCAGAGATGCTCCATAAGAGTCGGAAGTCGTCCCCTGGCTATTTTTCCTCACTGCTGACCGTCCCTGTGGAGGGACAGGCCCGACCTGACCGTTGCGGACCGAAGAACCTCCCGCCGCGATTCTCTCGGAACTCGGCGGGGCCCGGCGGCGCCCGGCCCGAGACGCGCGAGCGCCGGGCCCGACGGGCGCGCCCCGTCGCCGCGCGCGGCAGCCCGCCACCGACCAAACGGTGGGGCGCGGCAGCGGAACGCCCGAGACCGCCGGTCGCGACCCACACATTTGGGTACGGTAGGTTCGTGCGGCGTCGGCGCGCGCAAAGGTTCTTGACACCGCATCGATCGTTCAACCTTGAATCGATCGCGACCCCGATCGTTCAAGGTTGAATTCCGTCGGGCCCAATGGCGTTATCGTGTCCCTCGGTGCTTCCGCGTCACAGAATTCAACCTTGAACGCCTGCGCCGGCGTCGCCGGCGCGCCAACGCCGCGCGAACCTACCGTACACGTCGGTCGGGAGAAGCATGTTTCCACAAACAAAAATAGGGAGGTGGAGAAAGCAGAGATTGGACTCGGGCCCGCCCAGGAAACAACAAGCCACAGCAGAGGCGGATCGATTCTTGAAGTAATGAGGAAGGCGCTGGAAGCGGATTGGGGTAGTATGGATCCCCAGGACTACCCACTTTCAACGGCACTCGTGTCACTTAGCATGGGGGAAGCGGGTCCTGAGGAAAACGGGTCGGTCCTGGAACATGGGGCCTGCCCCCAGGGCGAGATCTTCATCCCGAGTCGCTTTCTGACAGCTGAGCGGGCGCATGGAGGACCCCGAGGAACCCGAGAACGGCGGCAAACCTCAGGACCCGGTTCCCTCAGGACCCGCTTCCCCCATGGCGGCTAACGATAGGTCGGGCATGTCCCCCTACAGGCGGATTCTAGACGAAAATCAAGAATATTAAAACCATAAACCAAAATTGATCAAAATGGAAAAGGAAAATCGTCGCCATGCGATTTTTGACTATGTAAAAACATTCCTCCTGTAGAGGGACATGCCCGACTTAAGGCTGACGCGTGATCTGGGCTCCCCCCCGCCGGCCAGGGCCTTGCAGCAGCAACTGCGCCAGGCCGGGGTCCCTCGCCAGCAGCCCGCCCAGCAGCGCCAGCGCGCCCGCGGCCGGCCCCTCGCGGATCTGCGCGCGGCCGCGGCGCAGTGGCGTGCCCGCCTGCGCGGCCGCCGGCGCCTGCGAGAGCCGCAGCAGCAGGACCAGCTCGTAGTACAGGGCGAGGCGGCGGCCACGGCGCCGGTTCCTGTCGCATAGCCTTAGGTCAGGCATGTCCTCCTACCATCGGATTTCGGGTGAAAAACTCAAAGGAGTCACAATTTTTTTACAACGCATTCAAACATAGTGAGGAAAACACCGTCCCCAAATTACACTTTTACTATTTTTGAACATTCCTCCTGCCAATGGACGTGCCTGACTTGAGGCGAGGCGGCGGCCACGGCGGCGGCTCCTGTCGCACAGCCGCCGGATGCGGCCCCGGTGCGCCGTGTCGGCTGGCGACACCGCCAGCCGCTCCAGGGTGAGGTTCCCTTCCAGCGCGCGCAACAAGCGCTCCGTGGGCTCGCGGCCCTCGGCCCAGTTGCCCGCGAGCTCCAGGGAGCGCAGGGTGGCGTTGCGCTCCAGGGCCGTGGACAGCTCGGCGAGGCCTCGGTCGCCCACGAAGTTGTCGCTGAGATCGAGGCGCGTCAGGGACCTGTTCCCGCGGAGCAGGCCCGCAAGCCTGCTGGCGCCCGCGTCCTTGACCCTGTTGTCATACAGCAGGAGGGTCGACAAGGCCGTGTTTCCCTCCAGCGCCGACGCGAGGTCCACTGTGCTCTCGTCGGAGACTCCGTTCATTCCGAGGTTCAGGAACGTCAGACAGCTGTCCGTGTGGCAAGCAAGGGCAGAAGCCAGCTGCGCAAGCCCCCTGCCGCTTCCCAGATGGCACTGGTGCAGGTCTAGCGCCCTGAGCGTGCTCCTTGCATCCAGCACCTGGCCAAAGCCGCCTGGGCTGCCAGCTGCCCCAGCACACTCCGACAGCATGTTGTTTGACAGGTCGACATCCACGAGTCGCATGTGGCAGGGAAACCCGCTCCACAACGAGTCGGCTCCCATGGGGCCGACGTTGTTGCCTCGCAGATTCAGCCGCTCCAGCGCGCAGCCTGGGCTCTGCGACAGCGCGCCAGCCAGGCTGTCCACGCCTCTGCCGGTGAGCAGGTTGCCGCGAAGGCCCAGCGACGTCAGCGACCTGCTGCCGCGCAGGGCCGACGCCAGGTGCGCGGCGGCGGCGTCGGTGAGCCCCCCGTGCTCCAGGTCGAGGTGCCGTAACCCGCAGCCGCCGCCGCTGAGCAGCGCCGCCACGTGCAGGGCGCCCGTGTCTCCCAGCCCGCTGTCCGAAGAAGAAAAAGCACAGCGTCACAAACATAAGCTAAAGGAGGTCCGCGGGGCCTCTTGGATCCGCGCTAGAACCCTCCATGCCTGGCGCGCGGAGCGCGCCAGGGGCAGCGCCGGAGGCGCCGCCAAGGGGGCCCGGCCGACTGGCGCGCGAGCGAGCGGAGCCAAGGCGCAAAGCAGCTACAGCAGCTCTGTGCGTCGAGCACCAGACGTCTGCGCGAACCCACGAACATGTTATGTCTATGCTTGGAGGCGGCGGGTGGGTCTGAATTGGATGGGCCCCAGAAAAATGATCAAGAGGGGGGGGCGAAGGCTGATCCACTCAAAATCGGTCCAATCCGCTAGTTGGTACCCCTATCTAGCTTTACACTGGAGCGGATTTCGCCGTCTCGTCGCTGACGAAAAAACTGTTTGACACTCCCGGGGCCCGCAAGCTGTCCATGGAGGCGGACAAAGGCAAACACCCAACTCGAATCCAGCACCTAGAACCTGCCCCCGTTTCCTGCTGCCCAGAACCAATGCTGGGCCACATCAGAGACACACCCGGGGCCCGCAAGCTGCCCCTGGAGGCCCACAAAGGCAAACACCCATCACGAATTCAGCACCTCGAACCTGCCCACGCTTCCTGCTGGCAAGAGCCAATGCTGGGCCACATCAGTGCCCCAGCTAGCTCCAAGCCTCGACGCTGGACTCGAACTATCTCATCGATGACCAGACGCTGGTCGACGCGAGCGCACTCTAGGGACTGAGGTATAGCGATGTACACGGCTCACACGGCATACTTGTATGTTCGAACATGTATGTCTATGCCGTGTTTTCTTCGTCGAGCTGTGGCTCAGCCATAGCGCCTCCACAGCCGCCGGGACGGCCGCCAGCGCCGCCGCCAGCACCTCCGCGGCGCCCGCCCCGACGCCGGCCTGGCACAGGCTCAGGACCCTGAGCGTGGGGTGGCCGCGGAGTGCCTCTGAGCATAGCTGGGGTACGGTGGCATACGGTGGGAACGCGCTGGGATACGAGAGCAATCGGAGCCTGAGGCTCGAGCGCCTGCGAAACCGATCCCCATCCCCACTGGCATGGCCTTGGCCCCACTGACCGAGTTACCACCCCCGATGGGAAGGTGGGCATGGGTCGAGGGTTCACAGGCCCACCCTCCTAGATGGGATGGGTCCCAGAGTTCACAGGCCAGCTCTCCCCCCATGATCGGATGAGGGGGGCGACGACGACGACCAGGACGACGACCAGGACGACGACGACCACGACGACGACGACGACGACGACGACGACGAGGACGACGACGACGAGGACGAGGACGACGACGACGACGAAGACGATGACAACGACTAGGACGAGGACGACGATGACGACGACGCCGACGGCGACTAGGACGAGGACGACGACGACGGCGACGACGTCGACGACTGGGACGAGGACGACGATAACGACGACGCCGACGACGACGACGAGGACGAGAAAGGCGACGGCGACGACGACAACGCCGACCACGACGAGGACGAGAACGAGGACGACGACAACGACAACGACGACGACAATGACGACGACGACGACTAGGACGAGGACGACGATATCGACGACGACGACGACGACGAGGACGAGGACGACAGAAGACGACCAGCACCACCACCAGGGCCGCGACCACAAGGGTGGAGGACCCCTCGCGCAGGGGACGGGGGCGAAGGCATCCGCACGAGAGGGTCGGGAGCGGGGCGCCCCGCAGCCCTGCACCGCACATGCTGCTCCCTTCCGGCCTCGCGGGCCCCGTCCCCCCCCCATGGCGGGGGCGGGAGGAGGAGGAGGAGGAGGAGGAGGAGGAGGAGGAGGAGGAGGAGGAGGAGGAGGCGGAGGAGGAGGAGGAGGCGGAGGAGGAGGAGGAGGAGGAGGAGGAGGAGGGATGGTGGGGCCGAGACAGCATGGCCCAGTGGGGGGCCGGGATGTGTGCGACGACGCGGCGCCTCGGCCACCTCCTGGCCGCTGCCCCGCAGCAGCCCGCACCTCACGGCGCCGTGCGTGCGCTCGCAGCCCTGGCACCTGCCAGGGGGACCAGGCAAGGCACCGATACCGCTACAGCCCTCGTGCTAGCACAGGGGACGCTGGCAAGAGAACGAAGCGGCTCTTTTGGCCGCTGAGAGCCTCGGTCACGAATAGGTTCCACGACCCAGGTCCACGGAACGGCGCGAAACCGGAGCACCGCCCGAGCCCGAAGTGGTGCTTGTTGCAGCGACTTGACTATACTCTTCGGACCTCTCTGGGTTGCGTTCTGACAAAGGCTTCGAGCCGATTCCCGCCTTGCCGACGAGGCCCCCCCCCCGCAGGACCAAAATAGCGAGAACGGGGAAAGAGTATCCGTACAAAACGGAGTGGGTGATTTCAGAAATAGTGGGCACAACACCAATTGAAGTTTCTGTCCAGTTTGAACAGAAGTCCCACTTTGGTTTCGCCGAGGACGGTGTCCATGTGACTTTAGAAGATTGCCTCCTCAACAGCGGCCTCTGCCGGTTTTAGACAACATCTGCTGTTGAGTATCGCAATCCTCTTGTTTCGTACCAATTGCGGCATCGGTACCTCTCCCCAGATGCGTTCTGACTCGGATCTCGAGGCGAATCCAGCCGTGGCGACGAGGGCCTCCTCGGAGGCCCACTGATGCCAAACCTGGGCAAAAGCGCCTGGCGTGACCCCAAAAAATACCACTCCCGGGTCTCAGGCACCAGTACCTCTACCCGCCGCAACGAGCACCTGCCCGCCTCGAGCTCCCGTGCGCGGAGCCCACGCCATCGGCCTGATGCCCCGCAGCAGCGGCAGCCCCGCTGCCGCGCGGCGGCGGACCGCCCCCGGCCTTCCGCAGCGAACGCACCCGCAGCTGGGCGCGGCCTCGGCGGCCGTGCCTCCTCCGAGGCGTTGGCCTCCGCCGCCATGGCCCGCGCCAGCGGCGCCTCGGGCCACCGCGGCAGCGGCAGGCCACCGCGGCAGCGTCGCGGCAAACAACCGCTGCGCAGCGGCAGACCAGCGCGGCAGCGGCAGGCCACCGCGGCAGCGGCAATGCACCGCGGCAGCGGCAATGCACCACGGCCACGGCAGGGCACTGAGCAGTGCCGATGCGGCGCCCTGGCGCCAGCGCCCCGGCCGGAGGGGAGGGATGCCGACTTCGCGGCCGCCGAGAGCCTTCGAAAGCACCACACGGAGATGCTGATCACGGAAGCCTGTCGCGGCCCTTCTTGGGCCCCGGGGCCCCCCCGCGGGCCCCCGGGGGCCCCACGGGCCCCCCCAACGGGCCCTGCATGGGGCCGTCGGACAGCGATTCAGGATGGAGAACTGGTCGTGGGGACGGCCCTGGTGCCGGGGATCCGCCTCCCGCAGTACCCCCCCTCAATCTCATGGCAGCAACCCTTGAGCCTGTGGGGGGGCAGACTCGCGCCTCGCCGATCGGCGGCGCGCTACAGACTCAACTGCTAGCTGTTGGAACCTGGAGCATGTTGCGCTTCCGCAAGAACAAGCAATCATTCGGGACCTTCCGCCTGGCATGTGTCTTCGCGTGCATGCCTCTCGAATGGATGCAAACCGAACTCGCGCTAGGGAGGAGTAGGAGGACGAGGAGGAGGAGGAGACGGAGGAGGAGGAGGAGGAGGAGGAGGAGGAGGAGGAGCAGGGGGTAGAGGGGCAAGGGCGCTGTGCGACGGTACCCTGTGGCCCAAACGGCCACCCACGCAACGATAAAACACGCAGCGGCAGCCCAGGAGGGAGGAGCAAAGATGGGAGAAAGGGCAGAAGCGCGAGCGACAGACTGGGAAGGCCCCCTTTTCGAGCGGAACCCCCCACCCAACATGTTTCACCTCCCTGGTGGACTTTGAGCCTCAAAATGGATCAGGTTTTCGTGGGGGCCAAAACGCTAAGTCACCTCACGTCGCGCATCGCGCCCCGCGATGCGCAACGCGCGCTCATTCTCAAGCCCCCGCAATGCTCCCCTTGAGAGAAGGCACACTCTCTGGCCCAGGCGGGGGCGTGCGAAGACCGCTTATCGCGCCCCCCCTGCGGGTGCCTGGTAAGGTCAAGGGGCTAGCTTGCGAGGCGAGGCTTAACCTATAGCCACAGCCTGGGACATCGATATTCGGGGACCTCGACTGGCGGTTGAGGTGACGTGTGTGGCCGCCCGAGGGTGAACCATCACGACCGGAGGCCTCGGATCTGTCTTTCTGGGGCATGTCTCGAGCCGTATCGGTCTGTGCTGGCCCCAGGGCCCGAACCCCAGCGAAAGCGCCCATTGTGAACAAAAATGCAACGCCCGGATCTCAGGGCCCACTGGGGGTCCCACGACCGTTTGGTAAGAGACCGCGCGACCGCGCGGCGACCTTGAAATCCCAAGGGCCCGGTGGCAACCCACGGGGGCCTCACATACCATATTGTCGGCTCTTGCGAATCGACGCTAATCGACGCAAAACCGACTCCAATCGACGCTAATCGACGCGAAGCGACGCTAAATGGACGCCAAGTGACGCCAAATCGACGCTAATCGACCCAGACAACGCTACATCGGCGGTATCTCGTCGACTCCCGGACGCTAGTCGGCGCTACTCGACGCTAGAGACGGAATTGAGAGGGCATACCAGGCTCCCATGACTTGCTACCGCACAAGAGATATCGCCGCGCGGTCCGTTACCGCACGGTCCTGGGACCCAGGAGGCCCCTTGTCGCCCGAGACGCCCTCGGAGCACGACCCGAGCCCCCAAGTCGTGCGGTGACCCTGGGTTCCCCACCGACTCACCATGCGGTGTGGCCACCACACCGCATGAGGGCCCCCATGCGGTGTGGCGGCCACACCGCATGGTGGCCCGCACACAAAATCATAGAGCTCTGCGGGGGGGACCTCATTTCCGACCTAATTCAGTGCTTCGGGGGGGGGACCTCATTTCCGACCAAAGTGCTTCGCCCCCCCCCCCTCCCAGAGCGGAACCCCCCATCCCCTGCAGAACGCCCCCTCCCGCTTCCTGCCCCAGCCCCCCTTCCTGCAGAGCGGACCTCGCCCCTGTAGCCCCCCCGCCCCACTGCAGAGCGACCCCCCCCTCCCCCTGAACCCCCCCTCTGCAGAGCACCCCCCCCCCTGCAGAGCGGACCTCCTCCCTGCAGCCTCCCCCCCCCCTGCAGAGCGGATCCCCCTCTCCTCCCCTGCTCCCCCCCCCTCTGCAGAGCAGACCCGCCCTCCTGCAGCTCTCCCTCCTCCCAAGAGGAACCCCCCTCCCCTGCGGAGGGGGACGGACCCGCCCCCCCCCCCCCCCCCCCTGCAGCAAGAGCCCCTCTCCGCCTGCGAGCGACCCCGGTCCGTGCAACCCCCCCCCCCTGCGAGCGGGCGTTTCCACCTCCCCACCCCCCACCCCACCCCCCTGCAGAGCGGACCCCCGGACCCTTTGCCCCCCCGCCCCACACTGCAGAGCTGGACCCCCCTCCCCCTGCACTCGGAGCCCCGCCCTCCTGCAGCCCCCCCCCTCCCAGAGCGGACCCCCCTTCCCCTGCAGAGCGGACCGCCCCCCCCCCCGCTCCCTGCAGCCCAGCCCCCCCCCGCTGCAGAGCGGACCCCGCTCCGTGCAGCCCCCCCCCCCTGCAGAGCGGACGCCCCCCCCACCCTGCCCCCCCCCCCCTGCAGAGCAGACTTCCTCTTCTGCAGCCCCCCCCTCCTTCAGAGCGGACCATCCCTCTCCCCTGCAGTCCCTCCCTCTGCCGAGCGGACTCCCCCTGCAGAGCAGACCCCTTCCCCTGCCCTCTCCCCTGCAGCATCATCCTGATCATCATCTTGCGGAGCGCCCCAGATCGGCGGCACTGGCCGGAGGCCACTACAATCACAGAGATTGGCCGAACATCCGATTCACGAACACAGGTGCCGAACACGGCCGAACAAGTGACTGGAGCATGCCAAGGGCCAAGGGGCCCCCCAGACCTCAAGGCCCACGAAGGCACGCGAGGGCCCCGGCGGAGGAGCCCGCCGCGGGATCCCCCACACGAGCGGTAAGAAGGAAGGGGACGCGCGCGAGAGGGCATGGCAAGCCTGCGCGGTGGCCCACACGGACCACGAGCGTGGCACACCTCGTAGAGAAGAGGGCGCGGGCGGGCGCGGGAAGCCTAGGCGCCACTGTCGCTAGAGACCCCCCCGTGGCTTCCGCGCTGTCCCCACGGAGCGTGGGGCGGGGCGCGCGGGGGCCTCTGGGAAATTGTGCAGCGTGAGCGAAGCGAAAAGCAGCACCTTGGGCGCGGCGGCGGGCCGCTCGGGGAGGCCTCACCCCCCCTCCTCCCTCCGAGATCCTCCCTCCGCCCTCCTCCCCCGAGGCCCTGCCGCCGCGTCCTTTTCCCACGGGGCGCCGCCGCCCAGAGCTCGGGCCCCAGGGCCCTCGCGGACCGAGTCTGGCCTGGACAGCGTCGGCCGCCAAGCCTGGGGCTCTGGACGCGAAGCTCCACGACGTTGCCTCTCCGGCCGCGGCGCCGCATCTCAAAGCCCCCCGCCCTCCTGGAGGAGGGAGGAGGGAGGAGGGAGGAGGGAGGGGGGAGGAGGAGGAGGAGGAGGGAGGAGGGAGGGGGGGAGGGAGGAGGAGGGAGGAGGGAGGAGGAGGGAGGGCCCGGGAGGACCCGGGCCGCCCAGGTCCGCGCGCCGCGCCCCCCGCGGGAGCGCGGCGCGCGGCGAGGCCCGCTTCCGGAGAGGGGGGCACCTCTCCGGCCAGGGCCGCCGCGCGCGAGCCGCGAGCCGTCCTCCTCCTCCTCCTCCTCCTACTCCTCCTCCTCCTCCTCCTCCCCCTCCTCCTCCTCCCCCATCTTCCTCGTGGGCGACAAACGGGCGGCCTCGCGGGCCTGGCTGCTGGGCCGCGACCCCACGAATGCGGGGCGCCTTTTCGGGGGATGCACCGCGCAGAGCGTATCCGTGCGTCAGCGAATCCTGAGCATTCTCTCAGGGTGGGGCGCTCAGGGTGAAATCCACATGGGCTTTCGCACCTCACAAATCAATCCGTCTTGTGATTCACCTCGTGCAGATTCAGACCACGGAAAACCATCGAAACGGCATTTCAGATTTCGAATCTCAAAGGGCATTTCAGACTTCACCCTTTGCCCTCCGCCAAAAGAAAGTGTTCGGGAATCCGCGGGATCGCGCCCCAGAGTCCAGACCGCGAGGGCGCGGATACGGACCTGCTCGCCGCTCGTGAGATCCAGGAGCCCCCCCGTCGTGTCGCGGGCGCCGCGGGAGGCGGGGCGGGGCTGCAGATATCAAGTCCGGCCAACCCCGCACCTCCCAGCCGACGGGACGGGGGAATGGGGGAGCAGGAGGTCGTCTTATACCTTCCGGCGAGAACTCGGGCTACTTACCAGCCTGGAACATATCCCTATCCCTATGCTGGGCACCTCCTCATCACGATGCCAATCTTAGGGATTCCCTTTATGTTTTGAGGGCGAATCCCTAAGATTGTCATCGCCTTTTGGCGTGTCAATCTTAGGGATAGGGATACGTTCGAGGCTGGTAAGTTGCCTGGTGGGGGTGGACGGTGCTGGCCGATACCCTGACCATTTCTTCGCTCTGGGCAGCCCCGCGCCTGCCCCCGCGCGCGCCAGCAGTGCGCAACCCCCTCGGGCCTGCACAGCCGACCAGCCAGGTTATCCGGGGGGACGCCGAGCAGCCACAACTGGGGGAGCTGTGGTACTTCCCCCTGGGGGAACCCATCGCATCGACGATCTCTCGAGAGGGGTGTCGAAATCGATGGGTCCCCCAGGGGGGTAAGGACCACAGCTCCCCCAGTTGTGGCTGGCCTGGGACGGGGGGGGGGCGGACCGGCCCGATAACCTGGGTGATCGCGAGGCCTTTCGACAAGAAGCAGTCGTCAGGAGGAGGGGGTAGGGGTCGGAGTGGATGGGGTCGCGCCGCACCGCCGATTCATCGCCCATGCATCGGCGATGCACCAGCGGCGTCGCCGATGCGTCGGGCTCCACAGCGAGCTGCATCGCCGATGCATCGGCGATGCGGCGCGATCCTGCGACCCCATCTCGTCGGACCCCATCTGGGAAGCCTAGAGGAACGGCGGGGAGAAGGGGAGCGAAGTTCGGAGGCCGCCCGTGGGAGGTCTTCGTGGGAACGAGTCAGGGCTAGTAAGCCCGATTGAGGGGCCAGTAAGCCGGATGAGCCCAGATTGAGCCCAGGAATGCGCCGGACTGCGCGGGATCCAGCGGGACCATAGGAAGGCTCCAACCATACACCAACACCGAGCCTGGTCAAGATCACCCCGGGCCCAGGATCGGTGTATACGCCCTCCGAGGACCAAGCGGAACTGAGCCGAACTAGGCCAGGCTGGGCCGATTCTCGACCACGGACATACCAGCGCCGACGCATCACTCAACCTCCCAGGAGATGTACAAGGACTGGGGAGAGGTCACCTCTATTCGCGCTCCACGCTGCGCGGAGCGCGACGCGCCGGTACATTCGCGCGCCAGCACGCCGCCCCCAAAAGGAGAGCCAGCTTGCGGCCCAGGTCACGGAGCGAGGGGCGCGAGTGCACTCGCGACCCTCACGACAACCAGGACGGCGTCGGCGACGAGCGCGACGCCCACCGCGACAACAACGACGACGACTTTGACGACCGTAGCAGCAGCGACGACGGCGGCGGCAACCGCGGCAACGACCAGGACGGGAACGACGACGACGATGACCGCGTTGACGATGACGAGGATGACGATGGCGGCAAGACGACGACGACAACGACGAGCACGACTACGAGCGCGAGCACGAGCACGAAGACGACGACCTCGACGACGACGACGACGCCGCCGACGACGACGACGACGACGACGACGACGGCGGCGACCGCGCGACCGCGACGACGACGGCCGCGGCGGCAAGTGCGGCGGCGACGGCAGCGACGACGGCGCTGCCGCCGCGGGCGCTACCGTCGCCGCTGCCGTCGCAGCCCGTGCGCCCGAGGCGGCGGCGGCAGCGGCAGCGAGGGGCGGCACGCGGCGACACGCGGCAGAGGCGTGCCGCGCGGCTGGGGGGGGGGGCGGCACCGCGAGGCGCCACTTGCCGTGCGCCTCGGGCCTGGACGCGTCCTTCGGCGTGCCCGCGGCCTGCTCTGGCGGCCTCGCCCCCCAGAGGGCCAACGACGACCGACGACGACGACGACGACGACCGCCACTGCCACCACGACCACGACCGCAACGACGATGATAATAACGACGACGACGACGGTGACGACGACGCTGCCGACGACCCGACGACCACGACCGCGACGACGCCGACAGCGACGACGACGACGACGGCGACGATGGCCACGGCGACGGCGACGGCGAAGGCGGCGGCGGCGGCGACGGCGACAGCGACGGCGACTGTGGTAGCGGTTGCGACGACGGCCGAGGCTTCTGTGGGAGGACTGGGAGTTTATCCATCATCGCCGCCTGGGGGGTCGTTCCTTGGGGGCCTCGGCGGTCGGTGGATTTTGGATTTTGGGCGCCCCGCCGCTGTCGTCGTCGTCGTCGTCGTCGTCGTCGTCGTCGTCGTCGTCGTCGTCGTGGTCGTCGTGGTCTTCGTCGTCGTCGTCGCCGAGGCTCCCGAAGATCGATCCCCAGGCGGTGGTTATGGATTAATCCCTGCGTCGGATTCTTTTGTGTGGATTTTAAGATATCCGGATACGGACTATATGGTATTGTTGTTGCCCCCTGTCCCGCTCCCTCCTGCTGCCTCCTCTACGCTTTCCCCTCCCTTTCTTCCTCCCGGCGCTGCTTTGCAGCATCCGCCTGAGTACCCGGGGCACCAGAACGTTGGCCAGGGGATTTTCGGCCACGTTCGCGGGACCGCCTGCCTAACTTTGGGCGCTTGGCGTGTATCTGTCCGCTTTCCCGTTCCTCCTCCTCCGCCCGTCCTTTCCTTCCTCCTGCGGACGCCGGCGCGTCCGGTCCAGGGTCGGTCTTTCAGTGGCCCGCGTATTAGGTGCGCTCGGCGTGGTGGCTGTAGGGTAATCCATGGCTGCTGACTGCCACCGCAGCGCGCTCAATGTTTTGGCCTGCCTGCTCTGTTCCTCAACTTCTTCCCCTCTTCCCCTCGTTCGCTCCCGCCCGATCTACCTCTCTCAGGGTCTTGGCCCATCTTGTCGCGAATCGGGCTGGGCGCAGAGCCTGGCAGCCACAGTGTTGATGGGCTAGTTTTCGGAGGCAGCATGTCGTTCGCCTCGGGGTGAACGAAACGTTCGAACCCTGCCTTGTGGCTCCTGTCCAACTCTTGCTCAGGCGCGTGCGGCACGAGTCAAGCTTCGGGGCTGTAGGCTTGCGTCATCGAGCTTCGAGTCCCTGCGTCGGATTTTGGACCTCCTTCGGGGATCTTCTGACCCGGGTCAATCCAGACCCGGGTCAGCAGGAAACCAAAAACTGCAATGCAGGAACAAAAAACTGCAACGCAGATCTTCGCAAACCCGGGTCAGCCAATATGTGCGGCCGCCTCGCGGCCACGAGCGGCTCGCTAACCCGGGTCAGCCAGAGGGGGTCTCTGCAGGATCCTGCAGGATCTGGCGCCCTGGCTGACCCCCGTCTGCATTGACCCCCGTCTCTTGGCTCCCGACTCCTGGCACTCTGGGAGCCTCCGTGGGGGTGCCTCCGTCAGCGCGGAGGCTCCCCGAGGGGACCTCCGGAAGCCTCCGGGGGGTCCTCAGGGGGGGGCACCCAGAGGCCTCCGGGGGCGGCGACAAAAATCGCAGCGAAGGTCGTCGATCCGCGTTTTTCGCAGGTCCGGAAGCTCGTTTCGGGTCTGTCGGTTTAGGGTTTAGGGTTTAGGGTTTAGGGTTTAGGGTTTAGGGTTTAGGGTTGGTCTGTCTGTTGCGGGCGGCGCCCCGGGCAAGGTCGGACCCTGCGAGCGAGCCTCCGCGGGTCGCGCTGGGGCGAAAACTGTGCCCGATGCAGGGGACGAGCACGCGCGTGGCCAAGCTTGCTGCCGCGCGTACGCGCGACCGCGCCAGCTGCTGCTGCGTCTGCTGCTGCTGTTCCACATGATGCTCAGCCTCCCCCCCCTCCTGCTACAATGCTTCTCCAGGTCGGGATGGCCCAAAGTAGCGTGTCAACAGGACAAGCAACGAGGAGTGAATCGGGAGGGAAGTGGTAGCCGACGGGAAAGGAGATGGGAGGGAGAGACCGAAAGGGACAATGAACAAAAAACGAGATAAGAGAGAGAGAGAGGGAGAGATAACGATACCCAGATGTGCATACACATGAATATTGCGACAGGGTGAACATATAATATCACTTTGCGCACATACGTAGATACACAAACACAAACGCATTCGGATTTATATATATATAAAACGTATATATAAATATATGAATAGATGTCTAAAGTTGTCAGCGTGTACCCCACACCGTGTCGCAATCTACGCTGTTCGATCTATGTGGTACAACTTTGGTTGTACAGTGTGCGTGGTGCGATATTCATGAAAGCAAAAAGAACCACTACCACTACAACTCCATATATTTCTGTTCCCAAATGCCCCCCCTCACGAGCTGGTGGCACTCCGTTCCGGGCATTCCGTGGGAGCGAGCCTGGAACGGGGTGCCACGAGCTCAGGGAAGGGGAGCGGCCAGCCCCCCTAGCTGGTGGTAGTGGTTATTCCTCCTCTGGTGAAATATGAGTTGTACGGCCTACGTTGCGCCATCCACGTCGTGCAACACAGGTTGTGCAATCTAGTCTATATATATATATATATACACCAATTACATACATACACATAGAAGAATGTGTTCCACATGCTATGGCGCAATGTATGTGCAATACATAAGTGTTTTGTGTTGTCTGGTGCATCTCTGCGGCCGCACTGACCCGCGCATGTTCGCGCGCGCAGCGGCCAGCTACTCTGGCGCGACTGACGCGAAGGCGGTGGCAATGACCGCTCGGCACATCCCAGCACGCACTTCACTTCGAGTCGACGAGTTGGGCGGGCGCGGTATCATGGCAACGTCGACAAAGGTAGACACGATGATGAAAGTAGCGATGGTGGTGGCGATGTTGACAGCGACGACGGGCGGCCGGTGACGGCGCCGATGCTGATAACGTCGACGACGATGACGGAGTTTTGACGTAGGCGATGGAAATTTTGGAATGAGTTCGACATGGGCGCGCGGCCGACGCGCGACTGGCCCGCATAGTATTATTTGACGCGGGTCGTGCCACCCCAGAACGCGCGCAAGGGCGTTCGAACGATTGCGACATGCGCGCGCGAAGCCTGATTGGTAGCATGTGGTGAACAAGTATGTGTGTGTGCGTGTACACGTATGTATATATATATATATATATATATATACCTATATAAATGCGTGTGTATATGTATATGTGTATACTGTGTATATAAATGTTGGTTGCAGCAAAAAACTTCATGGTTTGCTTAAGAACTCACAAGAGCGAGCAACTGTGTGTTGAACATACACGTTGCGAAAAGATCTGGTATTATGTGTTCCGGATACTCGATATAAACGTTCTTACGAAACCGATGGTTTTTGAAGGATTTCGGCATGCGCGCGCGACAAGCCGCGCGCGTGTGCACAGCGCCTTGTGGTTTGCAAGGGGATATTGCAAACTTGTGATTTGCGATGAACGATGAGCGCGCGTAATATTTGTTTCTCCAAAGATGGCCGGGGGGGGCGCGGAGACCAGCTTCGCTGGGATGGCACGGGTTCATATTCAACATGGACGATGGGGCAGAAACATGAGTAAATTGCAATACGAAAAAGGGGCGCCGATAATCCGTGGGGAAGACAATGGACTCTCTTCTTAGATGCGCGCGCGACGACGCGCGCGTGCGCGTTCGTCCCATTTGTTGCAAGGGATTATTGGACACGCGTGGTTTTTGTATAAACGAGTGCACGCGCATAGCTTTTGTTGCAAAAGATGGCGGGGTGTCCCGCTTAGCTGGGAAGGTACGAGATCATGCTTAGGATGGACGGTGGGGCAGAACCATATCAAAATTGCAATACGAAAAGGAGAACCGATAATCCAGGGGGGGAAGCTATCCTCTTTGTAGAAAAGAGATTTCATGTTTGCTCGCGGTGAGTTGTCAACTCCATTGCTCGCGCAGTCACCCCAGCCACCAACCCGCAACGTGGTTTGCAAAACCCATGCGGCGGCGATTGCGATGACTGCTCGGCCCTGGCTGTCGCATCGCTGCGGCAGCGGTGGCGCGGGCAGGATTGCGCGCACAGCGGCCAGCTAGTTCGGCGCGACCGACGCGGCCGCGGTGAAGCTGACCGCGGGGGACACCCCAGGCCCCCTTCCCAGCGAGTTTCGCAGGCCGCGCTGGCGCGTGGGCATTTCATTGCGAGTCTGTGGCTCGGGCGGGCGCGGTATCATGACGACGTCGACAGCGGCAGGCACCATGATGACAGCAGCGATGCTGGCGATGATGGTGACGATGACGACGGCGAGGCCACTGACGGCGGCGATGTTGGTCACGCCGATGACGATTATGGCGTCCACGTGACGGCGATGCAGGTTGCGGAACGATTTCGACATGCGAGCGCGGCCGACGGGCGCGAGTGGCGCGCGAGTGGCCGACGGCCGACATCGAGATGTTTGAAACACGTTGCAAAGCGGCGCGCGTTTTATTATATAGTGCTGGAAAGCTCGATTTTGAATTCAGAGGGAGCGCGTTGCACGGGCGCTTGCCTTGGAAACATTCGGCGGCGCGCTTCGAATCGGGGGGTGTCCCCCCCCAACACTCGGCGCCGTCGATCACAACCAGGGGGACTCCCCTCCCCCCTAATCCCCCCCCCGTCCAGAACCCCCCCTTCCCCCCCCTTGCAGGGGGGGGTGGGGGGGGATAGAAACGCCCCCCCCCCCCCCCCGGCGCAGACGCCGGCGCTGGCGGCGCTGGCGGCCCCCAGCAGAGATCCCATGGGGCCACGAAACGCTGTACTGGTTGTGGCGGATGCAGGCGGGCACCCCCACCGGGGCCTTCGTTGGAGCTCCCTACGGGGCCACGAAACGCTGTACTGCGTGTGACGGATGCATTCGGGCCCCCCCACTGGAGCCTTCAGTGGAGCTCCCTATGGGGCCACGAAGCGCTGTACTGGGTGTGGCGGGCGCATGCGGGCACCCCCACTGCGGCCTTCGGTGGAGCTCCCTATGGGGCCACGAAGCGCTGTACTGGGTGTGGCGGGCGCATGCGGGCACCCCCACTGGGGCCTATGGGGCCACGAAACGCTGTACTGAGTATGGCGGACGCATGCGGGCATCCCCACTGGGGCCTTCGGTGGATCACCTTTCAAGGGGGGCACGGAACGCTGTTATGGGTGGGGCGGGCGGCACATGCGGGCTGCGCCACTGGTGGAGCTCCCTATGGGGCCACGAAGCGCTGTACTGGGTGTGGCGGACGCGTGCGGGCAGCCCCACTGGGGCCTTCGGTGGGGCTCCCTACGGGCCACGAACCGTGTGAGGGGTGTGCCGAAACGGATGATGACGATGAGGAGGAGGGAGGGGGCAGCGGGCAGAGGAGTGAACGCGGGGACCGTCTCTTCAAAACGAAGACCCAACACCACAGGATGGTTGGGGAAAACATCTCAGAAACATCGGGCGCCGAGTCTCGCGTCGCGCTCACTGGCGGAAGGGTGTCATGCTGCGCCGGCGACGGCCGAACAACAATTATCCTGGCGTAGGACGCAACCATATGCAGTCGTGAATACCGCAAGTGTGAATACCTTATTGGGTGGAGCTCAATATGGTGCCACGAAGCGCTGCATTGGGTTGGGGGGAGCGCATGCTGGCGGTAGATTTGGTGCCGTGTGTGGGGCTCCGTATGAAGCCACGAAACGCTGTACTGGGTGGGGGGGCGCATGCGGGCGGTAGCACTGGGGCATTCGATGGAGCTCCCTATGGGGCCACGAAGCGCTGTACTGGGTGTGGCGGACGGATGCGGGGACCCCCACTGGAGCCTTCGGTGGAGCTCCCTATGGGACCACGAAGCGCTGTAGTGGGTGGGTGGGGGGACGCACGCGGGCACTCCCACTGATGCCCTCGGTGGAGCCCCACGGAAAGGTGCACTATGTTTGGGGGGGGGGGGGGGAGCGCACGCGGGCACCCCCACTGGGGCCTTCGGTGGAGATCCCTATGGGGCCACGAAGCGCTGTACTGGGTGTGGGCGGGCGCATGCGGGCACCCCCACAGGGGCCTTCGGTGGAGCTCCCTAGGGGGCCACGAAGCGCTGTACTGGATGGGGGGACACATGCGGGCACCCCCACTGGGGCCTTCGGTGGAGCTCCCTGTGGGGCCACGTAACGCTGTACTGGGTGTGGGGAGCGCATGCGGGCACCCCCACTGGGGCCTTTGGTGGAGCTCCCTATGGGGCCACGAAGCGTGTGAGGGGCGTGCCGAAGTGAGGGGGGGTGACGGGAGGAGGGAGGAGAAGGAGAAGGAAGAAGGGGAGGAGGAGGAGGAGGAGGAGGAGGGGAGGCGAGGAGAGAAAGGCGGGGACCGTCTCTTCAAAACGAGAACTCAACACCACAGGATGATTGGGCAGAATACTCAGAAACATCAGGCACCAAGCCTCGCCTCGCCATCCCTTGCGAAGGGCGCCACGCCGCGCCGACAGCGACCGGAACAAAAACAAACCACTCAGAAACATCGGGCGCCGAGCCCCGCCTCGCGTTCGCTAGCGAAGAATACCGCGCTGCGCTGCCCCCCCCGCTTCTGGGGAGGGTGAGCGGCAGCCGAGGGAGGGACAGGGGCTGGAGGATAAGGAGGAGGAGGAGGAGGAGGAGGAGGAGGAGGAGGAGGAGGAGGAGAGGAGGAGGAGTAGGAGGAGGAGGAGGAGGAGGGGGAACATTGGTTCCCCAACGGATGATACTTACAATGCTGAACCGCCTAAGCCGTTAGCCTCGTCCTCACGCGCAGCCACCCAGCGGCGGAGGGCCTCGAGCCCAGGGAGCATGGCGCTCCTCGGGCCGTCCGTCCCAGGCGGCTGCAGGTAGCCAGCGCGTTGGCGAGGCCGCTGAGCGGAGGATGGAGAGGAGGAGGAGAAGGAGGAGGAGGAGGAGGCGGAGGGAGGAGGAGGAGGAAGGAGGAAGAAGAGGGGGAGGAGGGGGGAAGGGGGGAAGGGGGAACGGGAAGGGGAAGGGGGAGGGGGATGGGGGAGGGGGAGGGGGAGGAGGAGGAGGGAGGAGGAGGAGGAGGAGGAGGAGGAGGAGGAGGAGGAGGAGGAGGAGGAGGAGGAGGAGGAGGGGGAGGAGCAGGAGGAGCATGCGTAGGAGCTGTGAGTGCGGTCGTCAACTCCGACCGAGGCGGGCGTCAGCGCTGGAACGCAGGCCGCCTGGGCCAGCTCAGCTTCATTGCGCGGGTTGACGACGACCCTTCGCGGCGCTCATCGCGATGAGGCGGCCCTTGTAGGTGTAGTCCATCCCGTTGGTTTTGGCCTGCAGGTATATGAAGTGCGACAGGGTGGAGGAGGAGGAGGAGGAGGAGGAGGAAAAGGAGGAGGAGGGGGAGGAGGAGCAGGAGGAGGAGTAGTTAGGAGGAGTTTGTCCAGCTCAACCCCTGCCTCCAACGCGAGGAGTGGGCATATTGCATGCTGCACAATCGTGGTTGACCTCTCTTCCCTTGTCCTTTCTCTCTTGCTCTTGCCGTTTTTCTCTCTCCCCGCTCTCCTCTCCAGGACATGCAGCGAACACACTCATGCCGTCAGTGACGCTGTAAACCCAGACACCCGATGTCTTGTTTTTTACGACACGGGGTCCCCCCAACTCCCGCCCTTTTCCCTGGGGCCTGCTCTTCATCCCGCGGGTCGTTTTGCGACGCTCCTGGGGCCCGGCAAGGCCCCTGGAGGTCGAAAGCAGCCAAACCCCGCCATCGCGATGTCTTCACAACGCGAGCATGTCGGGCAACGCCCACCGATACCAAGTCCCTCCCCCCAGCACCACCCACCGGTCCCGGCCCTTCCCCGCGGCCATTGCTTCGCCCGGGCCCATTTTTGATTGCCCTGGGGCCCGATAGCGGGCCTCGCGGGGGCCGGCATCAAGGAAATAATTTTGATTGGACAAATCATGTCGTCTGGAATCTGGAAAAGCTGTTCAACGATTCCCAAAGAACAGCACCGCGAAAAACAACGACCAGAGCCCATCACCCCATCTTTCTGCGTCATTTTCCGGCCCCCAAACTACGCTCATTGTGACAAATGCAACGGCAGGGTCTGAGGGTACGCCCACCTGCCCCAAGGCCCCAGGCCCCCCCTGGCCCTGTGGCATTCGCTGGCGCGTCCGCGTCGCCGTCGGGCGGCGCCGACCTCCGGATGTAGGCGACGACGGCCTCGGGTGCCTACACGTAAAAATAACCCTAAGCAAGAGCGACCCTTGGTGCGCGGGTTCAAGGTGCCGCGGGGCGGCCTGCTGCGGGGACCGGACGCGACGGCACCCGATCAATGCCGGGGCTAGGCCGCAGCAGAAGTCTGCGATCTCTCCAAATCCGAGCACGCGCTGGGCGTGGGAGCGGGTAAGGATTCTCGGCGTTCTCCGCCTAAAGGCGAGGGCCGGGCGGGGAACACCCAAGTCACCGAACTTCGCGCATCGGTGCCAGCGCGCACTGCTGGGGGGACCTCTGTAGGCCCGCAACAAGGGTCACTCTGGCAAAAGGTGACTCTTGCGCATGGCAGACTCGGGCGCCCCGCCGGGCCCACCGGCACGCACGCCGCACTCTCTCTCTCTCTCTCTCTTTCTCTCTCTCACGCACGCACGCACGCAGGCACGCAGGCACGCAGGCACGCAGGCACGCACGCACGCACGCACGCACGCACGCACGCACGCAAACACACACACACAAACGTACACACATACCGCGCGCTTGCCGAAGAGCCGAGTCGCCGAGCCACCTCGTCGTGGTCGTCATCGCCGCCGATGCCGTGGAAGTGGTCGTCGTCGCGGTCGTGATCGTGATCGTCGCCATCGCGATCGTGATCGTCGTCGTCGCCGTCGCCGACGTCGAGGCCGTCTCCATCCCGGGCGGCCGAAGCGCCTCGGACACTGGGCGGTCCGACCCGGCGATCGAGGCGGACGGCCTTTTCGCTGCCAAAGCCGCCTCCGCGAGCCGGCTCCGGGCCAGGGGGCCATGGGAGGGGGAGGGGGAGGAGGAGGAGGAGGAGGAGGAGGAGGGGGAGGAGGAGGAGGAGGAGGAGGAGGAGGAGGAGGGAGGAGGAGGAGGAGGAGGAGGAGGAGAGGAGGAGGGAGGAGGAGGAGGAGGAGGAGGGGAGGAGGAGGGGAGGAGGGAGGAGGAGGAGGAAGAGGAGGAGGAGGAAGAGGAGGAGGAGGAGGAGGAAGAGGAGGAGGAGGAGGAGGGGCCATCAACAGACGGCACGTGATCCCTCAGATCCTGGCGGGTGGACCCCGAAAAGTGTGCTTCTAGCAGTGCGCGTGGTGCGACCTTACTGGGCCCTGGAAGCGGCAGAGCCGTTTTTTTACCGGTTCCGTTCTGCCGTTTTCTTGCCGGTTTCGACGCCGTTCTTTTACAGGTTCCGTCGCCGTTTTTTGACCGGTTGTGGCTCCGGGTCCATTCCTTGAGCCGTTTCTTCGCCGTTTCTGGTCGCCGTTTTTTTGCCGTTTCCATTTTCAAAGGCCACTTTTCGGAAACGGTGAAAAAACGGCCCTGCCGTTTCCGGGGCCCACAAAGGGTGCGACCAATGTGGTGCAATTCGCCCTGCCGAAATCGAAGGTGTCAACCCCCATGTTCGCGCAATCGTTCCACCCACCCGCCCGCAACTTAGCTTGCAAAACTCATGCGGCGGCGATTGCGAGGACTGCCCGGCGCTGGCCTGCGCATCGCCGCGGCCGCGCTAGCGCGCATGCTCGCGCGCGAAACGGCCAGCTAGTTTGGCACGACCGACGCGGCAGCGGTGCACTTCACTGCGAGTCTGCGACTTGGGCGGGCGCGGTATCATGGCAATGGCAAAGTCGACAACGGTAGTCACGATGAGGGCAGACCCGATGCTGGTGACGATGATCACAACGACGACGACAAGGCCAGTGCTGGCGCCGACGCTGGTCACGCCCACGACGATGACGTCGCCCTCAGGTCGGTGATGAAAATGATGGACGGAATTTGACATGTGCGGGTGGCCGACGAGCGAGAGTGGCCCGCATGGTGCTATTTGAAAAAGGCCGTGCGCCCCCTGCACGCGCACACGGGCGTCCGAATGATTTCGGCATGCGGCGCGAGAGGCCCATGTGGCAGAGTGTAATGTAAATGTTGACAGACATATGGTGTCCTGAAGAATTTGCAGGAGCGCAAGCATCTTTGAAAACTGGTGTTGCCAAGCCATGTGGTTCTACATGTTCTTGGGACATTCGACTTTTGAAATCCATACGAAACCACGCTTTTTGAAGGATTCCCGCATGCGCGCGCGACGACGCGCGCGTGTGCACTCCGTCCCGCTTTTGCAAAGGATATTTGCGACAGCAGGAGCGCAAGGGCGTTCGAGCGATTCGGACATGCGCGCGCGAGAGGCACGTTTGGTAGCATGTGATGAGCATGTTGCAAATGGCTCTCTCAAGACCCTGCACAAGCGCGGGCGCAGGCTATTTTCGAATCCGCTTATTGCGATGCCTTGTGTTTGTATGTGTTCGGGACACTCGGCTCTGCATGCGCGCATGACGATTTTTCGGCATGCACGCGCGACGACGCGCGCGAGTGCAAGTCGTCCCAGTTTTACAAAGGACTATTGGAAACTGATGGGTGTTGGTAAGCGAGTGCGCGCGCATGGTATGTGGTGTAAATGATGATGGGTGGGGTTATCGCTTCGTTTTAGCTGGGATGGTGCGATTTCGTATTCAGGATCATCTCACAATTCAGATACGCGAACGGGTGCACTTAAGCCCCCGGGGGGGAGGGAGGGAGATCCTATCATACGTGGTTAAATTTACGTGGTGTAGTAAACGTTGTGAAACCCCCGGGGAGAATCTACGTGGTGTAGTATACGTTGTGAAACCCTCGTGGTGCACTCTACGCAATTCAGCCCATGATATGCTAATCACGTGGTGCAGTCTAAATTGTGCACTCTACGTGGTGCCAACTATGTTGTGTACTCAATAAGGTGCGATCAATGTGGTGCACTCTAGGTGGGGCGGTTCGCTTCTGTTGGCAGTGAGGTGTCAAATACACCGTTCGCGCAATCATCCCGCCCACCCGCCCGCAACTTGGCTTGCAAAACCTATGCTCGGACAGTGGGTTTGAGATAACATGCCCCCAAGGGATGGGTATCGGTTGACAGATACTGAGGAGGAAACAAAGGGAGGAGGAGAAGGCCTGGCCCCCCTCGGCAGAGCCCCCAGAAGCAGCGGCAACCCCACCAGAGCTTGCACGATGCAGCCTCTTATCGTGCGCAGTGCCGGCGAAGGCGAGAAAGGCAGCGCCGTCGACACATGGCGCAGAAAGATTCGGTCTAAGGCTCCGCTCCGGTCATTTTTTCTCGCAGCGTCAGATCTGAGGGACAACGCCGGCCCCCAAGTATAGTCATCGTGTCACAGCAAGGAACGCAAAATCAGGGACGAGGGGGCGTTCCTTGCCACGGCGAGCTTCGGCCACGAACAAGTTCCCCGACGTGGATCCCAGGAGCGGCCCGAAAACCAGAGCCCCTCCTGAGCCCCAAGTGGTCCTTATCTCAGCGCCCTGGCTGCACTAGTGGTCCCGGAGTGGTCCTTATTTCAGCCCCGAGTGGACCTTCTTGGAGCCGCTGGCTCCACTAGTGCGTCGAAGCTGCGTCGAGCGACCGCCGACTGAGTCGAAGTCGAGTCGACTCTGAGTCGAACCTGAGTCGACCTGGCGTCGAACTGAAGTCGAACTGGAGCCGAACAGGGTCGTTGGGTGGACCCCAGGGAGGCCCCCGGAACGAGAATCTATAGCCCACGTGCCTTCTCGCCCCAGCCTCCTCCTCCTCCTCCTCCTCCTCCTCCTCGTCGGCCTGTTCACCCGTTTCCCTCCTCCCCCTCCCCTTCTCCCCCCCCTCCTCCTCCTCCTCCTCCCCCTCCTCCTCCTCCTCCTCCTCCTCCTCCTCCTTCTCCTCCTCCTCCTCCTCCTCCTCCTCCCCCTCCTCCTCCTCCTCCTCTCCTCCTCTCCTCCTCCTCCTCCTCCTCCTCCTCCTCCCTCCTCCTCCTCCTCCTCCTCCTCCCCTCCTCCTCCTCTCCTCCTCCTCCTCCTCCTCTCCTCCTCCTCCTCCTCCTCCTCCTCCTCCTCCTCCTCCTCCTGCGCCTCCCCGCCCCAGAGGCCCAAGCCGACGCCCCCACACCAGGTGCGGGCTCCCGCGCGCAAGCATGCCCCTAGCCCGCGGGGCGCCCAGACCGGGGGAGTGGGCAAGGCTTGTCGGCGGCCTCCGCGGCCAGCGCTCTCGAGCGCGGGCCGTCCCCAGCCCATCCCGCCCCTGGGAGGAGAGGAGGAACAGGAGGAGGAGGAGGAGGAGGAGGAGGAGGAGGAAGAATAGGAAGAAGAGGAATAGTATAAGGAGGAGAAGAGGAGGAGGAGGAGGAGGAGGAGGAGGAGGAGGAGCGATATTTCGAACAGCAAGGCGCAGAGCTGCCGAAAAGCAGGGCAGGCTGGCCGCAGCGGCCTCCGAGGCCAGCGCTCGAGCGTGGGCCGTCCCCAGCCCATCCCTAGGGAACCGAACAATGGCATAAACATAAACACTCGGAGGTCCGCGCGGATTTCTCGGATCGGCGCTGGACCCCCCTGGCGGCGCCTCCGGCGCCGCTCCGATCCGAGAAATCCGCTCGGACCTCCGAGTTTTTACGTTTATGTCATTGTTCGTCCCCTTAATATCACCCCCAGACGCAGCACTCACTCGGCAAGCCTGCCTCGCGAAGACAAAGCTCGGACGAGGATGACATCGGGCTGAGGAGAGAACGGGCATCTCCTGAGACCCGGCGGCTCAGGAGGATGGCTCGGGCGCCGCGGCCTTCCCAGAGCGTTCCAGAACGCTCTGAGAGCGCGCCCGAAAGCTCTGGAACGGATGCATCCTCGTCCAAGGCCCGTCCGACTCGTCCCCGCTGTGGCCGGGGGTGGGGTGTCTTGATTCTGGCTTGGCCCTTCCGATGTGCGTCTCGGGCCCAGGCCGCGTCCCCGCACTTGCAGAGCAGAAGCGTCACCAAGGCACCGCCGAAGAAGAGCGCCGGCCGGAGCCACCACCTCGGGTTGGACGCGCCGCGGCCGTCCCTTCCCACCCCGAGGGAGCTGGCTAACATTCTGGATGGGTGCGGCAGCGAGGGAGGGAGCGGACGCGATGACGACACAAAAAGAGGGGGACGAATGGAAGAAGCAACGGCGGTGCACGCGCACACGAGGCATCACTGATACCAGCACGCAGGCAGCACACGACTGCACGGCACGCAGCGAATGAATACCCTTCGACACCTTTGCAGCACGCACGCTGCGTGCACGCACGCAGCGCACGGAGCAGTTACGCAGCGGTCAAAAAGGCCTCCGACTTTGGGAACGAGACACGGCGGTAAACGGACGCGCTGCGCAAACTCCAAAACTTCCACGCTCGGCAGGACCCGTCGGGAAAGCAGCCCCTGAGCAGACGAGCAGAGCGAAAGGATCCCAGCAGGCGGGCGCAACAAGAGCAGCCGGGGGGGGAGCCGCCGAATCACGCAAAAATCGGCCGGGGGGGGGGGAACGCATCACCACCTTAGCTGCCCCGATACGCAACACGCAACACGCAGCGTATTGACACGGAGCTCAACAAGTAGACTGAACACGTAGGTCTGACGCGATGCGTTCACCAAAACGTGGGCCAATACGTTGAGCCAACACGCAACGTATTGACACGGACGTTTTGAACACGGCACTTGCTGCGTATCAAAACGGGCGTATCGGACACCACGTGGTTCCTCTCTTGTGCCGATCTCGCTTTTTTTGGGGGGACGCGGGCGTGCCGCGGCGGCGTGCGCCGAGACGCCCGACGCGCACCCTGGAATCGACTGCACCTCGGGCCGCGGGGGAGCTGGGCCCCGGCATCCTCAGGCAGGGCTGACTGGGAAAGGCCTCAAGATCAAGTTGAGATGTTGCCCCCTCATACACACACACACACACACACACACACACGCCCGTGGGGTGTCCTGGGATTTCCCAGGATGGCCTAGGATTCTGATGATGTCCTATGATGTCCTAGGATGTCCTACGAAAGCCTGGGGATTTCCAGGAAAATCCTAGGATCTCCTAGGATTTCCCAGGGTGTCCTAGGATTCTTATGATGTCCTAGGCTGTCCTGCGAAAGCCTGGGGACTTCCGGGACCATCCGGGGGACACCCGGGGGCATCCCACGGCGCGAGATCCCCCCCCCACACAAAAACAAAAGCACGGACATCCTGGGACATCCTGGGACATCCTGGGACAATCCGGGGGACATCCTGGGCATCCCACGGCGCGAGATCCCCCCCCCCCCCTATATATATATATATATATATATATATATATGTAACAAAAAAAAAAAAAAAAAAACGCCACGTGGGGCGCGGCCCGCCTCGCTCCGCCCGTGGGGCCCGCTGGCCCCCGTGGCCCCCCGCGGCCCGGGGCCATGGGGCGCCTCGGGAGTGGAGGCCCCCCCGTCCCGCACAACTGCCCTCCACCACGCTCCCTTGCAGTCAAAAACCCGAATCAGGACGCGCGGCAGGGACGCGAGACACGTGGAAGCTGAAGCTGGGATTCTTGGGGCGGCGGGCGACGAAAACCCCAAGACGAAACCAGGGAAGGACGGAGACGCAAGTGCAAGGAAGAGCAAGGACGCAAGGGTACCCTGAGCAAGGTCGCGCGTCCTCATTCGGTTTTTTGACTGTACTTCCCTCCGGGCATCTGTGGACTGTCGATGCACGCGGGACACGCTCCTGCTCGTGGTGCCTCTCTCTCTCTCTCTCTCTTTCTCTTTTTCGCTCTTCCCCTCTCTGTCTCTCTCTCTCTCTCTCTTTCTGCCTCTCTGTGTCTCTCTCGCACTGTCTGCCTTCATCTAGACCTCTCTCTCTGCATCTGTTTCTTAGCTCCCCATCCCCTGTATCTACCTCCTTCTCTATGTCTACTTCGCTGGTTCTCTCACTGCGTCTCTCTCTCCCTCTCTCTCTGAATCCCCTCGCTCTCTCTCCCCCACCCCCTCTCTCCCACACCTTCTCCATATCATGAGCACCTAAAAGCGCAGGCGAAAAGCAGTCCAGAGGAGCGAGACACGACCGAACCAAACAACTCCCACATGTCAGACAGCAGGGTGACGTGGGAACGGCTTGGAGCAGCAATGAGCTGCTACATCGTACACGCACAGGCAACAAGACCCATACGCACTCACGCAGAGCCTCAAAAAGCCAGGCGCAACCAAAGGGAATGTCGGGGAACGGGCGGACAAAGAAGAGCCCCTTCTCAGCCAAGTGCAACACAAAGAGCCAATACTAGCCAGGAGCACACAGGCCTAGAGGCAGCCACGAGCAAGAGGAGCGATCAACAACGAAACACCCAAGGTTACCACATTATGCAACGACAGGTGCAACAGTAACCGCCTGATGCAGGCGGGAACGGCCGAACCGAACAGATGTCACTGGCCCTTCACAGGGCGGCAAGTGAAACAACATCTCTGGCCTTAACTCATCTCCACGACTCCTCGGATTCGTAACAGCCTTTCCTTTTTCAGTGACGTCGCATACTCGTCCCTACCCTCACTCAAAGCCCTCTCGCATGGCCGCGTAATCCTCATCCTCCCTACCGTCCTCGTTGTCCTCCTCTCCTCCAGCTCCTCTTCCACGTCCTCATAATCCTCCCCCCCTCCCTCCTCCATTCCCTGTCATCATAAATAACTCCCCCCTGTCACACCTTGATCCGGGCGTTTCGCCAAAGACTTCCTCACCAGTTATGACCCTGAAGCTTAACAGTGACAACAGTTTCGCGGATTGAGGGCGGGTGGTTTTCAAAATGTGGTTATCGCCTTGGCGCCGCGCGAATTCGTTTTGAACATTTGCTAGAGCTTCGCGGATTGAGGGCGGGTCGTGTTCGAAATGTGGCTCTCGCCTTAGCGCCGCGAACTTTCGTTTTAAACCTTTGCAGCAGTTTCAAGAATTCAGAGCGGGCCGTTTTCAAAATGTGGCTCTCGCCTTGGCGCCGCGCGCATTCGTTTTCAAAAGTTGCAAGAATGTCACGGATTGAGGGCGGGTCGTGTTCGAAATGTGGCTCTCGCCTTAGCGCCGCGCACATCCGTTTTGAAACTTGCAAGAATGTCACGGATTTAGGGCGGGTCGTTTTCAAAATGTGGCTCTCTCCTTAGCGCCACGCACATTCGTTTTGAACGTGTGCAACGGTTTCACGAATTCAGTGCAGGTGGTTTTCAAAATGTGGCTCCCGCCTTGGCACCGCGCACACTCTTTGCAACAACTTACAAACGTTTCACGGATTGAGGGCGGGTCGTTTTCAAAATGTGGCTCTCATTATAGCGCCGCGCACATTCGTTTTGATCCTTTTAAACATTTGCGAGACTTTCACGGATTGATGGCGGGTCGTTTTCAACATGTGGTTCTCGACTTGGCGCCGCGCACATTCGTGTTGTAAAAACTGCAAGAGCTACACGGATTCAGGGCGGGTCGTTTTCAAAATGTGGCTTCCCCCTAGGCGACGTGCACATTCGATCAAGCAAATTTGCAAGACTTGCACGGATTGGAGGCGAGTCCTTTGCAAACTGTGGCTCTCGCTGTAGCGCCGCGCACCTACGTTTTTCATTGTTGGGGAATTTGGAAGAATTTCACGGATTCCCATGGTCAGCGTACCAGGAACAGTGGTCTGAGGAGACTCATGATTATGCGGGTGCAACAATGATGTTGATTCGCGGTGTTGACGTCCCAAGAATGGCGCTCTGGCGCTTTTAGCTCGTCAGGACACAGTAGACAGGTTGTGGCGTGGCATTCTTCAAGGTCTTCAAACGGATGTCTTCCAACGAGGCAGCTCCCCAAATGGAAATGAACCGATGTAGGGGCCTATGAAGAAGGAGCTTGGAAGGAGGGTAAATTCCAACATCGTTGATGACTCTTGGGTTTCCACTGGTCCTCCTCCTCCTCCTCCTCCTCCTCCTGCCTTCCAGCCGCTTCGTGCAGGGATTGGTTCCGCCCTCCTCCTGTTCTCGCCGACGGGCCTTCCAGCTTGTCGGGGGGGCCGGAGCGCAATAGAGTACACAGAAGAAGCGAACGAAGAACGAAGGGGCGAGGATAAGGAGGCGAAGGCCGTCCCCACCTGCGTGAGCACCACAGGAGTCCTCCCGAACAAAATGGCGCGGCACGTGTCCCTGGAAGGGGCCCGACGGGGCTCTTCGAAAGGCCAAACAAACTGCCATGAGCGAACGGGGCCATGAGGACAGCAGACCCTGGACCCCTTGGGAAGCAACTCCTGGAAGGTCCTCATAAGAATGGTCAGGGGGGCGGGCGTCGAGCCATAATTGGTAGGCCGGAGTTCGCATGGGACTCGACCCAATGAGGCAGGATGAGGCACCGCTGAGCGGGGCTCTGCCGGATCGCGCCGGTCTTCGCCCGTGGCTGCACCACAGCGCCGATGCCGACCTGCTGTGACCTCTCGCGTCGGGAGCGGCCAGGAGGGGGGTGTCCAAGAGGGAGGGGTGCAAATCATGACCGGCGGCACGTGCGCGGCCCAGCGCGGGGGCCAGGGACGTCATGCAGCAAGGAGAGGCGCCATGAAACCTGGGGAGATCCCATGGCCCCCGCCATGATCTCCCCCCCCCCCCCTCTAGTCATCACCCCCCTCTCTGCCGCCCCCGATGGCAGGAGCTGCACCCGGCGACCCCGAAGGGGCCCCAGGACACTTTTGCTGTAGAGGCCGCGCGCCGGGCGGGTCGACTCGAGAGCGAGGCGGCCGAGCGCCCACCGCGCCCCAAGCGGCCGGGGACACGCGGGCAGCGACGGCGGCGGCCCCCGCGGTGCTGCGGCGCAGCCAGGCCGCTCGGCGAGGCGCTGCGCGCGTGCCCGGGCCGCGCTGCTTAAAAAAAAACCAGCTCGGGAGGGAGGAGGGAGGAGGGAGGAGGAGGGAGGAGGGAGGAGGGAGGAGGGAGGAGGGAGGAGGAGGCGGAGGCGGAGGAGGAGAAGAGGAAGGGGAGGAGGAGGAGGAGGAGGAGGAGGAGGAGGAGGAGGAAGAGGAGGAGGAGGAGGAGGAGGAGGCGGGAGGAGGAGGGAGGAGGGAGGAGGGAGGAGGGAGGAGGAGGGGGAGCTCGTCTTGGCGGCGTCCACGCTGGGGTGGCGCGAGGGGGCGGGCTCCCGAGGAGGCGGCGGGGCCACTGGGAGGGCACGGGCGCTGCCCCGCCCTGCCGGCCTCCGAGAAGCCTTGCGAGCAGCCTCGCGGGGCCTTCTGAGGCCCATGGCCTTGCAAGGATCCCCTATCCGCCTTCTTGGAAGGTCGCCCCCTCGCGCCACTCTGAGGTCGGGCGTGCCCCCCCCCCCCCCCCCCCCCCCCCACAGGCGGATTTTGGACGACAAATAAAAAGATACCCAGAGCATATTAAACAATACCCAAACGTAGTCCACAACATCGTCCCCAGACTAATTTTTTACTATTTCCGGATATCCCTCCTGTAGAGGGACAGGCCCGACTCAACGCCACCCGTTCGTGGGCGCCGCCGACCGTCGGGGCCCCGACCCAAGGTGCCCTGCCGCGCCGCCTCGCTGCCAGGCTCGATCAGCCAGACTCGGGGCTGCGGCGGAAGTAGCCCGCCTCGCCAGGGGCGTCCACCGTGCGGCCAAGGGTGCCGTAGCCCTTGACGTCCTCGTCCTTGAACGGCTGGACCATGAGCCACTGGGTGAAGCCGGGGACGGCGATCAGCCACGGGAGGGCGATGACGAGCAGCTCCGGGGCTCCTCGTGGGCGGGGGGCGTGCTGCCGTGCTCGGCCTCCTAGGAGGCCGGCACGCACCCAGGCCCCGCGGCCAGGAGCACGAGTCGGCTACGCGCGGGAGGGACCCTCTGGGTAACGAGTGGCCTCTGGTGCGCGGCTTGCTGGGGGGCCGCGGGGGGGCCAAACACGAGCGCGCAAGACGCCACTGCCGCGCCGCGTCCGGCGGTCGGGGGGTCCCATCGAGCCCGCACCAGAGGTCACTCCAGCGGAGGGTCACTCTTGCGTCTAGCTTAGATACTCCGGACGAAACACCGGTCCCGGGAGATGGGTCGAGGCCTCTGGGCCCAGACCCCCGACGTCATGATTTCTTCATGACGCGACCCCCAGAGGTCCGGACCCATTCCCTGGGACCGGTTTTTCATCCTGAGTCGTTTTTTGATGGTCCTGAGGGCCGGCAAGGGCCCCCGGAGGCCGAAAATAGCGAAAAACCTTCCGTCGTGATTTTTTCATGACTCGAGGGGGTCTGGGGGGGTCGACGTTCTGAAAGATGATGGCTTCGGGGCACTGGGTAAAGCCAGAGCTAGGGCCTCGCATCTGGACGCCTCGGTCGCTGCCCCCCACGGATGCAGCGCGGCTCTGCGCCATGCCCCGCGCGGAGCACACCCAGGGGACCGCGCCTCGGTGCCCAGACCACGGGGGCGTGGAAGTGCAGACAGTGCACACGGGCGGATCGCTCGCGAGCTCCGAAGCCCTCGTAGGTGAGCTCGATCGCCCGCGCGGGCAGCGGCGCGGTGGCGATGACGCCGGCCCCCGCCAGGGTCGCCGCTGCGGCGGGGAGGTCGGCCTGCGCGCGCGGCGGCGCGACGAACGCGCGGGCGGCCAGCTGCCGCAGCGCCAGCGCCGCCAGGGCGAGAGCCAGGAGGCGGGCGGCCGCGGCGGACCTCCGCGGCGCCATATGCCGACCGCTGGCCAGCGCGGCGCGGCCCCGGCCGGGAGCTGCCCGGGGGCGCCTCGGCCACGCGCGCCTCGCCGGTGCTGCGGGGGCCGATCCCGGGCCCGAGGGCCGGAGCGCGCGCGCCCGCCTGGCTCGGTGCCACGGAGAAGCGTGCGCCGGTCCTGGGCCCAGGGTCGGCCCGGCCGGGAGCGGCGAGGTGGCCGTGGCCGACGCCCCCCGAGGAGAGGGAGGCCGCGCGGCGCCGGGAGCCCAGATGCCTCTCGGCTGCTCGGCCAGCTGCGCAACAGCGGGCGGGTGGGGCTGACCCCTGGGGGGCGCGGGAGAGGGCAACGGCATGTGATCAGGAAGGGGTCGCCGGCGCCGCCACCCTCTTTCTGTAGCATGTACCAGGGGCGTGAGGGGGACAGGGAAGGGAGCGGGAGGAAGAGCAGGAGTGACTTGACGGGCTTCGGTTCCATGGCTACAAGAAGTGCAGACGCAGGATGCGGATACCCTTTCTCCTGCCTCGAGAGGCCAATATCGTCAAAAAGCGCAGGACGACCAGATCAAGTAGACCTTCACACGGACTCTTCTTCCCTTCTGCCGTTCGAGGTCGCGGCTCAAATTCACGCGGCGTGGCACGTATCGCACAGCCGAGGTGGCGGTAGGGGGGGGGGGGAGAAGGAGGGAGAAAGGAGAGGGATCGACGGAAATTAAGAGGGACAGACGAAAACAGATGAGGGAGAAATGGGGGAGGGAGGAGGGCGGATTGGGGGAGGAAGAGGAGTAGTAGGAAGAGAAGGAGGAAGGGAGGAGGAGGAGGAGGAGGAGGAGGAGGAGGAGGAGGAGGAGGAGGATGATGAGGAGGATAGGAGGAGAGAGGAGGAGGAGGCGGAGGAGGAGGAGGAGGAGGAGAAGGAGGAGGAGGAGGAGGAGGAGGAGGAGGAGGAGGAGGAGGAGGAGGAGGAGGAGGAGAAGGGGAGGAGGAGGAGGGAGGAGGGTCCGTAGCCATTTGGGGCTCGAGTGGGTTTGCATGGGAGGCCTTCCCTTTTCACTCGCTCGATACGGCAAGGCTGTCAACCATCAATTCGTCTTCTCATCCGCATCCACTTGCAAGCATGGCCGACGACAAATTCCTTCTATCTCCATAACGGACTCTTGCGCATCCTGCCGCTACGGACTGGTCAGAAGCGACCCGCACGCCTCCTGTCTTCTTAAGAAGCTGGAAAGACAGACATTGCATATTGCCTCACACGTCATTTGACAGTCCCGGAAGCCACATAACACAAGACTGCGGTAAATGAGTTCTTAGATGGGGAGAGACGATTCGGCAACCACCTCCAGCGAGCAGGACATGGCAAACTTCGCCAGCCCGTGCCCAGTGGGTAACCAAGCCAAAAGTGCAGCCAACCTAGACTAACAAGCAGGTGCTTCTTCATAGCTGGACCAACGATACGATGGCCAGCGCAATGCCCAACGAAGGAACGGATATGGAAGCTGTGGCTGTTGTATCGCTCCGCGCATTTCAGGCTTTACGAAATTAACTGAATTCGCTCAGAAAAGCAGTGGATTCCACGAAGCGCCGCACGCAGAACGACACCGATGAGGCCACTGCAGGTTTGAACGCGAAGAGCTACGAAGAGATCCAAGATGCCCTCAAAGACAAGGTAAGCTATGCGGACCTTGAGCCCGCCATAAACGACAAGGTGAGCACATCATATCTACAGAAGTCCATTCTTGGAAAAGCGAGCGAAGACACGGTCTGCCAAGTCCATCGCGCCCTAGAGAGCGAGGTGAGTCCTGAAGTCTTGGAGACATTGCGCCTGGATATGGTAGGCCAGATTGAGTTCCAGTGTTCTCTCACTGGCAAGGCGCGTAAATTAGATGTTAGCAAGCTCTCCTGGACAGATCGAGTATGGATGACATCTTTTCTGCTATTGAGGCCAAGGTGAGCGCGACAAATCTTCAGCAGGACCTTGAGGAGAAGGCGACCACCCGCACGTTCCAGAGGGCCATCGAAGGGTTCAACCAGTCTATCGGCGACACGGTGACCTTCTGAGACCTCCAGCAGGCTATCGCCAAAGCTGTGGGCGGCAAAGCATGCGCAGATTCGAAGGGCACTTCTTACACAGATCTGGAGGAGGAAAGGAGGATAGCAGGAAGCATATTGCGACGCATCAGGTTCAGACAGCGGGTTGCTCCAGCAACGCCTCTTTTCAAAATCTCTCTTTTCTACTCCCCCACTTTACCTGTTCCCCTCCCGCCCCTTCGCCCCCCGCCTCGACGCAGTGGCGTGCCCCCGCCCGAGACTGATCGTGGGTTCGATGGTGTGGATTGATGCTGGTGAGCGGGCGGGGGGGGGGTGATCGTGAAAACCTCGTGGGCCGAGGCACGCTCGAGGCGCATGGAAGAGCGTCGTAAGCTGCGCGGGCAGGCCGAGCCCCTCGATTGCGCACATCATCCCGGCCCTGTATGGCCTGGTGGCCTGGTCCGGCAACCCGTCCACTCGACCCCTGCGGCAGAGCAGGCTCCGTGAGGGAGGCGGGGGCACGGACGGCTTCGAGTAGGTGGGCGGAGGGGGCGGAGGACCTCGCCCTGCCACACTGCCCCCACCAGCCAGCCACACCACAGCGTGGCGAGCAGGCCGGCGGCTTGCAATCGCCCGCGGCTGGAGTAAAGGGGTGCTCACGGACGACGTTGGAGGTCACTGCTTTGAGTGTCGTGGTGCTGTGGGCCCCCCTTCCCTTCCCTTTCCCCCCCTGCACCATGGCCTGTCCACCAGTGCGGAGCAAGCAGGAGACGGGTTGGGCATGTCCCTCGCTTTCTCTGTCCCCGCTCTGCCCTTTTTCTCCCTCCCTTTCACACCTCTTTTCCAGGATCCTTGAGAAATGGCGGTCTATGAGAGTCACGTGGCTCCTCTAGGCGGCGGCCGCTCAGTATCCTGGGTTCGCTGCGGGTGTGTGCAGGGGGATGAGGAAGGAGGACGGGGAGAAGGAGGAGAAGGAGGACAAGGGTAAACCCAAGACTAATCAACGATGTTGGAATACACTCTTCCTCAAGCTCCATCTGCATGGGCTCAATACAAGGGCTCATCTCCACTGAGGACATTGCCCTGTTGGGGGACAACCTTGTGAAGAGCCCGAAGCGTGCCCAAACACCACGATCAATACTCCAACGTCACGGGTCAACCTGACTGTTGCGTCTTGACGATCCTGGATCGCGCCAGAACACCACTGCTGGGACTTCAAAACTACGAATGAATGTGACTGTCCCGTCCTGAAAACCCTGAACCATTCAAAACACAAGTGCTGCTACGTTAACCATGAAGATCACTGGACCCCCTGCAAATACTAACAAAACGAATGCGCGCGGAAATAAAGCGAGAATTACATTTTGAAAACGACCCGCACTCAATCCGTGGCATGCCTGTTAAAAAAAAAATGTGCGCGGCGCCAAGGCGAGAACCACATGTTGAAAACCCGACCTCAATCCATAAAACTCGCCCAAGTTTTGTTGAAAAACGAATGTGCGGGGCTCTGAGGCGAGAACCACATCTTGAAAACGGCCCACCCTCAATCCAATACGTGAAGCTCTTCCACATGTTTAAACCAGCGTGCGCGGCGCTAAGGCGAGAAACACATATTGGCAACGGCCCGCCCTCAAACCGTGAGCCTCTTCCAAGTTCTTATGACGAATGTGCACGGCGCTGATGAGAACCACAGTTTGAACGCGGCGCGCCTTCAAGCTGTCAAACATTGCCACTTGGTTCAAAATTCAAGCTCATAAGCGGCAAAGAAATCTCGGGCGCAACGCTTGACCCGCCCTTCCGACTGGCCTCGGGGTGCGACAGGCAGGAGTTACGCATATTGAACAGGAATGGAGGGAGGAGGACTGGGAGATGGGGGAGCACGCAGCGAGGAGGAGGAGGAGGAGGAGGAGGAGGAGGAGGAGTTGGAGAAGGAGGTGGAGGAGGTGGAGGCTCTGGAATGGGGGGTGGGGGAGAATGGAGGGGGAGAGCAAGGTGTGGTAGAGAAGGGAGGAAGGATGGATGGGGCAGGGAGGACAGAGCGAAGCAGAGCAAAGAGCTAGCGAACCCAAGGTCCTCCCTAGCAGCGAGACGAAAAACACACTGTTAGATCTGTACGGCCTATACGAGCGACTTCCCACTTAGAGGGGGCTTTGTAGATGGGGCGACGCTCAAACCTGCAGACGGCCCCAGAGGAGGTGCATCCCGCAGGCGTCTTATGGCACCATCCCCTCTCATCCCCTCTGCACGGCCCGTGCAGTGTGACAAATACGCTGGTCCCCTGTGACCTGCACAACTCCCTTGCCGCGAAGCATGCTTGGCACACGCACTGAGGACCAATACCCTCCCCTCATCCAGTGCACTCACCCTTAAAGCAAAACGCTCTCCGCCCCCGGACCGAGCGGCCATCGAAACATCAGCGGCCCAGGGGCGCCGCCCCAGAGGACCCCGAGGCAAGTGAGGTGAGTGCACCTCGCAGTAGCAGTTCAAGGCAACGATCACGACCACGAAAGGCATGAGGAGCAGCAGGGGCAGGGGGGCGACTCCGAGTAGGGCGAGGCCGCGAGGGAGGAGGAGCAGGAGAAGACGGGGGGGGAGGAGGGGGAAGGGGGAGGGAAGAGGGTGAAGGGGGGGAGTGATGATGAGCGCGACGACAGCAGCCAAGCCCGCCACGTTCCGGCGCCCCCCTGGTGGTCGTGATCGTGGTCGTGGCCGTGGTCGTCCTGGGAGCCAAGGGCCACGCGATAAACGGTCCTCCCCCACTTTCCTCTTTCCGATCATCTCCTCTCTCCCCCCCTCCCCCCCTCCCTCCTCCCTCCTCCCTCCTCCCTCCTCCTCCTCCTCCTCCTCTGATGCCTCTGATGCCTTACCACAGTGGGTCTCATGAAACCCTACTGCGACCTGCGCCTTCGCAGGAACACGCCCAAGGTATTCAGAATTAAATAACCTCAGGGGGGAAGGGCGACCGAGCTTCAACGCATTAAAACTGGCGCCGAATTAACGGGAAGGGCAAGCCCCAGTATTTGTCCGACTGGGGCCCCCTTCCCCCCGTCACCTTCCCCAGGAGGACAAGAAAGGAAAAGGGGGACAAAGGCAGGGACACTCGCGGGCTCAGAAGGAGTGCTGGGTAGGGGTCCCGTTCCCCGTAATTTCTCCGATTCCTCCTCCATCCCGATTGCCGTCAATCCGTCCCCTCCTCCCCATCATCACGACCACCCTCACCACCACCACCATCATCACCATCATCATCATCAGCATCATCAGCATCAGCATCAGCATCGCCATCATCATCATCATCATCATCATCATCATCATCATCATCATCATCATCATCATTATGGTCATCATCATCATCCTCATCATGACCATCACAATCATCATCATCAGCAGCATCAGCATCAGCATCAGCATCAGCATCATTATCATCATCATCATCATCATCATCATCCTCATCAGCATCAGCATCAGCATCATCAGCATCATCATCATCAGCATCATCATCAGCATCAGCATCATCATCATCACCACCATCATCATCATCATCTTCATCATCATCATCCACATCATCATTGCCAGCAGCATATTCAGCAGCAGATGATCATCATCCGCATCAGCATCAGCATCAGCATCAGCATCATCATCGTCGTCATCGCCATATCTTCCTTCATATTCTAATCACCGTCTCCATTCTCAATAGTAGCATCATCCTCGCCCTCATCAGCTGCATGATACTGATCATGATCATGATGATGATCATTATCGTCTTCAGCATCATCATCGACACCATCAGCATCATCATCATCAATATCATCGTCATCACCACCATCTTCATCATAAGAAGCATCAGCACCATCACCGTCACCGTCACCGTCACCGTGTCCCTGAGTGCGGCCACGATGTGGCCCAGGGACGGCCGGTCGACCTTTAAAAAATCCTGACGGGGGGTGGGAGGAGAGGACGACGACGGAAGGCGAGGATAGGGCGCCGTCCGGAAAGCACCTGGGCTCGGAGGAAGAGGGGAGGGAGGGGGACGGAGAAGGGAGGCAGGGAGAGGGGAGAGAGAAGAGGGGGGAAGAAAGGGAGGGAGGGAGGGGGGGGAAAGAGGGGGAGGGGGGAGAAGGGAGAAGGGCAAAGGGGAAAAGGGCAGGGGGAACGGGGCGGAACCTGGAAAGAGTCGGGAAGCCCAATGGTGATTGGAAGGGGGGTGCCCCTGCGGACTGGGTGGCAGAGCGGGGGGAGAGCAGTCGAGGGTCCAGCGCCGCAGTTGGGATGTACACAGCATGGGCTCTCCCGCCCTCGCAATTGGCTCTCCTGGATGGCACAGCGGGGGGAGAGACTACCAGAGGGCTCTCCCGCCCTCGCAATTGGGATGTACACAGCATGGGACGACACCGCCATTCCTCCGTCCACCCACCACCCACCCGCCCTTCCCTGCCCACACTCACACACACTCGATCACACAAAAACAATAGGAGACTCCGTGCAGATCACACAAGGGTGGGCACAACAAGAACAAGAAAGCACGATCTGTCCTGCGAATTCATGGCTCCATGCACGGCCCATGGCTCGACTACCCGCCCCCGTCGGGCCCTGTATCCGGGGGCGGGCCTGTGGGGTGACCCCTTAGTCAGCCATCGCGTCGCCGGCGTTGCCGGCCGCGGCGGCCCCGCCGCCTGCCCCACCCGCCCCGCCCGCGCCCGCGCCCGCTCCGCCCGCTGCCCCGGGAGCTACACCCGCCGCCGGGGCTGCACCCGCCGCCGGGGCTGCCCCCCCAGGTGCCGCAGCTGCCTTGGCGGCCGCCCTGCCTTTCTTCCCCTTCTTGCCCTTGCCCTTGCCTTTGCCGCCGCCGCCACCTCGGCCCTGAAGCACCCCCTGGGTTCCCTTGCCGCCCTTGCCGCCCTTTGCGCCTTTGGCCTGCCCCTGGGCCTGCCCCTTGCCGCCGCCCTTCCACTGGCGCTCTTCCTCGGTCCTCTCGTTGTAGAGAAGCCGCCTCGGCGGCTGGGCGGCCCCTTCCTGAAGCGTAGGTTGGCCGGCGACGGAGAGACCCGAAGCGCGGCGCAACGGGTGGTCTAGCCGTCAATTATCTGTTCCATGCCCAGCGAGGAGGCCCCGAACTTAACCTTCAGTTTGAACACGTTCGGAATCCGCACCTTGGTGCCGCGGTCGTAGTCCCACCGATACTGCTCCATGACCTTCTGAAGCACCCCTGGCTTGCTCAATTCCTCACAGAGGAAGCGAACCGCCTGCTGGGTGGACCCGGGCTGGTCCGACGCGCGATCCGGCAAGGGCCAGCTCAGCCCCAGGTGAGCCCCCAGGTCCCGGCCAACAGCCTCCGGCGTCAGGTTGCGCAACTCACGGTACTCTCCCTGGTTCCCGTGCGCCTCCCACACCGAGTCCACCGAGGGGAATCCCTCTAGCACCACACTTGTGCTTTTCAGCACTCGGCTGACCTCGTTCCGAAGGCGGAAGATCTGCTCGGTGTGGCGGCTCTGACCCTCCTCCAACGCCGCAATGCGGCGCTCCGTGGCTGCGCGGCGCTCAGCTGCCATTTCTCTGTCACACCCCTCACCGACACACGATCAAGCAGGGAGAGAAGCTGCCGCCGGACGGGCACCCACCCCCGCCCGCGCCCGCCCCCGGCCGACCCCGCCGCCCAGACGACCCGGACGACGAAGACGACGACGACGACCCCGACAACACCCACGACGACGACGACGACCACGACGACGACAACGACGACGACCACGGCAGCGCCGCCGAACCAGGGGCACCGCAGGAGGAGGGCGGTCATGACCCTTCCGGCGAGAGCCGGTTCCGCCGGGCGGGGGCCTTGAGCAGCTGGTCGGGGCGGCGAGCAACAATTCACGTGACTGCACACATCATGGCTCGAGCGGGGGCGGGGGGAGGGGAGGGGGAGGGGGGGGGCCTTCCTCCTTTTTTTTTTTCCTAGCTGCGCACAAGAAACAGCATACGTCACGTCAGAGGGAGTAAGAAAAGAAAAAGGCAAGCAAACGCACGCCGGCAACAACGCGAGGGAGTCGAGGGGGGAAGAATCGCAGCCGAGCAACAGCAAGGGGGGGCAAGGCGAGGAGGCGGCCGGCGGCCATTGGACCTATACTCCTGCCCCCCTGCAGTGGGGCCTGGGGGCGGCCGGAAGTGAGTTCGTGACTCACTTTAGCACAACCATGAACAGGGCAAGCCCTGTCCTGGCCGCCCCCGATGCATCGGGACGTGCCCGGCATCATCTCGTGACAGATCGCCTCGTGGGCGCTGCCGGCAGCTGCAGGTTGTGAACTCCCAGATAGCAAGCACACTGTGGTAAGGACCAATGACCGCCCGCCACCCCCCACCCGCCCTCCCACCCCCCTAGACCGCTATTTCCTACACGAAACAAGATCTGCTTATCCGGCTCCCGCCGGGCGTCTCCGGGCAATACCAGCGAGACGAATCGCCGCCTTGGCCTGGGCGTTCGCCCCGCGCGCCTTACCTGCAACCCTGGCCGTAACAGCCTTGGCCGGGGCGGCCTTGACCGGCGGGCCCGCCTTTCCCTTGGCTCCCACGTGCGGTTTCGGTTTCGGCTTGGCTTTCGCCTTCGCTTTAGCTGCACCTGGCCCGGGGGGCGGGGGCGGCGCCGGTGCCGCCGCCGCCGCGACCGCAACGGCCTGGGCCTTTGCTTTCGCTGCAGCGCCCCCACGACACCATTTCTCGTGGTTACCTAAAGGGCGACACAGCATTCCTGGGGGAGGCGGTGGGTAGACTAAGCCACACTTCGAGCATGTCCGGTTCATAATGTCACTCCCCCTGCATTTGGATTCGTGTGCCTTGCGACACCCCTCTTTAACATATGTGAGGCACTTACGACATTTCGTCATTCCGGCCGGTATGGCATAACCCGCTACCGTGCACCTCGTGATGTGCCCGTACAGATCCTTGCTAAGCACCTTTATGCCGCATTTCTTGCAATAATCCACCTCGTTCCATTGCAACTCGGCCACCTGAGGTGGGGTCGCCATCCACCGGGCCGATTGGCGAGAAGCATACCCGCGCCTACCTAGATCCGCCGCCCTGTCTGCCAGCTCGTTGTCATGGGCGCCTGTGTGCCCATACACATGTTCCCAAGTTAGACTGCGTCTCTCCAATACCCGCGCTGTGAGCTCTTGTACGGCGTCCGCAAGCTCCTCGTTTGATTTCACCTCCCATAACCCCCGCGCTATGTTCGCTGCGTATTCCGAATCATACCGAATGTGCACGGGTACGTGGCCTCCGTCTGGTGCTTCATCCAAGAGCCACTTCATGAGTTCGCCAATAGCCGATAATTCCGCCGTGTTATTAGTTTGGCTCCTAGCTCCAAACCATCGGTGATCCCACGCTCGACTCACAACAGGGGCATGCAGCACGTAGTCCGGGACCATACCTGGAAGGCTCGGATCCGTAACCCGCCAGATCACTACCCCCCAACCCGCCTCCCCGTCCTTGCCCGACCCGTCGGTCGCTACCCACCAAGCAGCCGGCTCCGGTGCGTGTGGCCCCATGACCACTGGCAGGTATACCCCGTCCTGTGTCTGGAGGGCGTCCCGGAGCTCCAGCCTGGCCGGACAGGAAGGCTTGTGCCTCCGAACATCACATCCCAGGTATTCCTTGCAATCCGGACACTGGTGGGAGATGCTCGTGACCAGGTGGGGATCCCGCACCGAGTGTGCCTCATCGTAGTGGTACTGCAGCT